GACTTTAAGCTTTCGACGAGTCTGGCGTGACGACCGGTTACCAAGCGAATTTCGTAACTTGGGGCGCGCAATCCCTGTTACCGCAGCGCGAACTTCCGGCTTCCAGTGTCGGCCAACAGGGGTGGGGAGGGAGAAGGAGGACGGCGAAACAGGAAGGGTTAGGACGAAGTTATTATTACCATAATTTTCGGCTAAATGCACCGCTGCAACTCTTCCTCCTCCTCTTCCTCCTCCTCCTTCTCTGCTGCAATTCGACGTCGAATGTTTGCACACGCACATAGGGGAGGAATTGCATTGCAACGTTTGGCCGGAAGTCGCCTCATTATTTCTAATGGATCCACGTTGAACGGGATGGACAGTGACTCCTCCACTTTTCGTGCAATCTAAAATTGGGAATTATATTGGTGTATATGGTGTATATGGGGGGAGGAAAAGAAGGGTGGTTTTTCTCTTTCTTTTTCAATTTTTCAATTTTTGCCCTAATTTTAGGATTAGAATGGTCGTTCGTGATGACAATGAACGATTCTATGAGATCATTGAATATCTTTGGATTTTCAGTCAGAAGAATTTGTTTTTTCGATTTAAGGGATACTTTTTATGAGATTGAAATATTATATATAATATGATTCCAAGGATTCAACTTTCTTTCTTGTATTGTTTTAAATATAAACTCAAGGATGTCGCGAAAGATCGATATTTTTTTCGTTTATTAAATTAGGAAAGAATAATAGAATAGATATTAAGTTTCTTGGAACAATTTGAAATGATTTTTGAAGGATATCTTGAACATCCTTCTTGAATATCCTTTGAAGAAGAAAAATATTTATATTTCCCAGGTTTATTGCTATTTCCTTAACCTGATACACATGCGTGAAGGCGGATTTCTACACGCACATGGACTCGTTCCTGTGCTCCTTAACGGACCTTACGTACAAAATGCAGGGGTTAACGGTGATATACGTGCCGAGGGAGGGTGACGAGCTGGTTGTGGACGAGATGGGCGCCGATAAGGAGATAATCAAGAGGATGGAGGTGGTGGTGGCCTATTGGACCACCCAAGTGAGGATAGCGCTCTCGGATCAGGAACAGGCAACACCCCTCGAATTGTTGTGCCTCAAGGACGAATACGACTTTTGGATCTATCGATGTTAGTTCCATCTTGATTTCGAGGATATTTGTAAAAAATACGATTCAATTCAGAATTTTCTCATTCATAATTCACAAATTGGAATTCGATTTTGAAATATTCCTCGAATATTTGAATTTCGAACATTAATTTCCATTTCCAGTGTCCAAAAGTATTGTATGAACAGTTTTTACCGTGAAAAATTTTCAATTTCAATTCTTTTTCCTCATTATCGTATCGCGAAAAAAAAAAAAAGAAATCTTCATTTTACTGATTACTCAGTAAAATGATTTGTTGGGTAAGATTTGCGGATATCTTTTGAAGAAGAATAAATTCTTCGATCGAACAGACGACAATCTCTGCGGTTTAAACTACCAAGTGCAGAACCCCACCGTGAAAAAGATAACGGATTTCCTGATGACGAGCCACTCGACCTACGCCCAACAATTCCTGAAATTAAAGGACGAGATCGAGACGTTCGTGAAGGAGGCCATATCGAACGTCGAGTACCTACGAATCCTGGTCGACCCCTCCTCCGAGATAGACAAATGCCAGTCGCCGTCCGAGATTCAGCAACACTTGCTCCTCATCATACACCTGATCAGAATCATCTGGTTGAATTCGCCGTTTTACAACACCCAGGAGAGGATCGAGAATCTGTTCAGGGCGCTCAGCAATCAGATAATCATCATCTGCCGGGACTACATAAACTTCGACGAGCTTTTCGCCGGTCAGACGAGAAAGTACATGGAAAAGTTCGACGAGTGCATACAGAGCTGTAAAAATTACATCGCACTGTACGACCAGGTAACGCTCGTTTGAGTTCAATATTAATATTCCATAATTTCTTTTCTAATAAACGAGTCACGCAATTCTTCAATTGATATAATATAATTTCCATAATAAACGTAATTGATTTAATATAATTTCCACGTTCGAGACGAAACCCTCTCCTTTTCAAATTCTCTCGGTGCATTAAGGAACTATTAAACGACGTGTGCGCGGAGTTACCTCGGATACTTGGGGAAGAGCCGTTAAACGTTAAGCGTTAAACGCCACCTCCGCCTTTCGCGATGATCCCAACCCCTTGTTAAAGTAACACTCGCCCTTCCTCCTGCAATTAATCTTATCTTCATCTTTAATCGGGGCGAGATGGTTGCAAGCGCGCACGAAACCTGCAATAATCGTGCCCCCTCGCGATTAGTAATCCCGATCTCGATCTGCTCTCGTTAAGAATTGATATAATAAGAGATCGTGAAGAGAATGCAAAACTGTAGCACGAATTGTTTAAAAATGATTCGTCGAATTTTGGAAATTAGGGTTTCATCCCTTGTTGAAGGGGAGGGTCAAGTTTTCGGGTTAATACTAACCCCTAACTTAGGCGTTTCCCGTGTGGTTAGATAAGCGGCGAGGGGGGTGAAAATTGCCACGAGCCATGTAGCTGCCGTATCCTTGGTGGAACGAGGGTGCAAAGGGAGCACGAATTTTCCTGAAAAATCTCTCAGTTTCGAGGATCAAAAATCCCTTTTACGATTATTAATTTCTGTACCAAGATTGACTAATCTTCAATTTTCTTAAAAATTAAGAAACACTGGTTCTAATGATATATAATTTGTGCATAGTATTGTAAATTTTTGCGATTATTTCTGTTCCGATCTTCTCTCTTCAATTTTCTTAAAAATTAAGAAACACTGGTCCTAATGATATATAATTTGTGCATAGTGTTGTAAATAGTGCGAAGGAATAATTTTTCGTGTCTCCTTTGCAAGAAACAGGAATCCAGTTAAAAATCATCGCAATTACCACCGAAAAAGTAATACGATTCCTGTGTTGATGAAGCAAGCAAGGAAATAATATTGCATTTTCGATATTATTTATGAAACCCTGGGGGAGGGTTGAGAGCGTATCCGTTTCGAGAAACGAATCGTGTTCGATGAAAAAAAAAGAAAAAATTTTTTTTCCAAATCGATTCGAAGAAAAATCGGTTTCTGATCGAAAAAAATAACAACATCGCGCGTTCGAACGTTTTTTCTTTTTTTTTGAAATTGAATCACCAGTCAGCCAGTGAAGTCCAACATAGGGATATTTAACGAGAGAATTCGTGAGAACGAAATGGCGCCACTTTTATTTCGAAAATTTTTAATAATTTTTAATAGTGTTTTGGAGAGGTGAAAAAAAGGTAATTTGTGAGTGAAACGAATAGAGTATCACCATCCTGTGGAGGTGGTGGTGAACTGTTTCCCCTAAGCGGCCGATAATACAGAATAAATTGTTGGTCTCTTGTGTATTCTCTTACTTTCTCTTAGATCTTCTCAATGAGATATAAATAATATTTGGAAAGGGTTGGATTAATTTCCTCGCGTTACGAGTAATGTAATAGAGATTTTGTGTATTCTCTTTATCTATCTCTTGTAGAGAAAAATATTTTCTCCATATACAATTATTTTTCTCCAGATATTTCGAAGGCCTAAAATAATTAATATGATAAACCAGTATTTTAAATTTTTTTTTAGACTACTTTGTAGTTGGAAAAAATTTCAGAGTAATATATATATATTAATATATCTATAGATCTAGGACTAATGTATTTTAAAAAAAAAAAATAATTTTTCAGATAGTGCATGCCCATACTACTCTGTTAGGCGTATCGTGGGATTTGAACAAGATCAATATATTCCAGCATATTGATACTTGCATCAGCAGGTGCAACGATATGATTGAGATCTGTCAGGCGATGATCGATTTTGCCAGGTAATCAGTCCACGCCTCTTCATGCCTGTCGAACGATTAGTTCCAGAATTGAAGACAGCGTGATAAACAGGATGAAATCTCGAGTATTATCTCGATTGTGATTTTGCCAGTGATTTTTCGTGAATAGATCAATAGATTAAGGAAAATTTCAAAATTATTTTCTCATAGATGTTTAATTAAAAATTATTCACCAATCTTTTTATATTTTGGTAAAAATTAGGCAGATATTTGAAGCGAGAAATTTAGAAAATTTTTAAATGAGAGAGAATTTTGTAGAGTAAAATTTTCTAAATTCGCGCGATCTTTAAATACGTTTTAACGAAATTTATTGGCAGAATGGACGAAACCACAGACGTGGCCAAGCCTATGTTTGGCGGTACGAGGGGCGAGGAGCGAGAAAGGGTGTGTCAAAAGGTCGAAAGACTGTTTAAGGAGGCTTTGAAAAAAATCGACGAGAACTCTCACAATATCTTCGACGTCCATCACAGCATGTGGAACGACGACATGTTCGCCTTTCGAGCCGAGATGAAGGATCTGGAAATCATTATCGAGAACCTGGTCACGTCGATCTTCGTCAATTTAAACAATGTACAGGAGGCGATGGAGGATTTTCAAAGCTTTCATAGCTACATGAATCGCGACAAGTTGAGAGCTCTGTTTGATTCCAAGACGAGCGAGGTACGAGGTTGAACTGAAAAATCTATCTATTATAAATCTTCGAATTCTTCTGCATAGTTTCCATCATATTCTGAAAGTTTTTTCACGAAAAGGAAAAGTATAGAACGATGTCCAATTTTTACCATAAAGATATTCATAAGATTCATAAAATATTTTTTTCTCTTTCTTCCAATTATTCCAAGAAGAATTCTCGATCCACAGCTTTCTCTGAATCCTTCACTTAAATATCCACTATTACAACGACTGTTAAACAAAACAACTTTCTTGAAAATTTTCTATTCCACGATATAAAATATAATAATCGTTTCCTACATTTCGAATCGTAAAGAGAAAACAAATCTCTTCTCACTCCTTAAATTCCCATTGCTCCACCAGATATGGAAACTTTTCTGCGACGATATCCAGAAAGCGAAGCAAGAGGTGTTGGACGAAATGGAGGAGTACTCCTCGATGACTCCTTATTACGCGGGCAGGGCGTTGAATTTGCGCACGAAGGGCGCCCGGATACAAGTGACGAGAGAGATCCTCGAGCACGCGCTCTGGATGCCCTATTGCGGCCTCCGCTACGAGGCGTTCCATCAGCAAGAGCTGCTGCAGAAATCGATCGAGGATTTCGTCGCCGATTTATACGCGAAATGGATCTACGAGGTCGGTGACAATCCCCGGGCAAAGCTGGATCGTTTCCTCATGCGCCGCTGCAACATCACCGAGGGCCTTCTCAGGTGCAACATAGACCCGTCCATTTTGACCTTGTGCCGCGAGGCCTCCTACTGGATCGCGTTGAAATTCATCATCCCTGTCCACGTGCAGATCGTTTTCGACAAATGGGAGACCCTTAATTTCGTGTTCGAGAGCGTTATCGCAGTTATTATCAGTTACAATAAGGTGATCAAAGGTTAGTTTGCCAATTTTATCTCATTTTTTATTTTTATATCTCAACAATAGGAGACAACGTTATCGTAGTGATCGAAAGTTGGTTTGCCAATTTTATCTTTATTTTTATTTTTATATAACGTTGAGATATATAGAACATATCGAACTTCTCATTCGAAAAATCGGATTGTTTCTTGGCAGCCATATTGAATCGGCTCCCTCTACTTCCGAAACTTATTTCAAAAAAGTCGTTTTCACGCTAGACCAGAATTAAAGAGAACTTTAAAGTGATCCATCGAGCATAGCATTCGAAAATTCCGTATGTAACTTTATCTCTTTCTCTCTCTCTCTCTCTTCCCCTTCAAAAGCGCGCGTAATTTGAAAAACCAAAAAACCGTTTCCATGCTGAGCGTTTTAATTTTAAAATAACCTGTGAAATTGTAATCGAGAGAACAAGTGAACAAGCTTGGAAAAAGCGCGCGTTACTTGAAAAATTCCATCCCAACGCTATCGAGAATATTTTAAAATGATCGATCGAAATTGTAATCGTCGAGTAACGTTCGGATAATCGGGTTTCCAAACGGTTGTGTAGAGGTGTCCACATATACATGTACATATACCTATATTTTTCCAGCTTTGTCGATAGTAGAACGCGAACTGTTCCGCGAACTAATTCGCCAACTAGACAGGAAGATCAATCCAGGCTTAAACAAGCTGACATGGAACACGGAATACGTGGACGCGTACATCGAGGATTGCTTTAACGAAACGGCAAATGTACGCTTCCTCCTCTCTCTGTCTCTCTCTCTTTCTCCCCTCCTCTCTCCCCGTCCAACTTGACCGGTTGGATATAGGTTGGAGGAGGCGGCTGATACGGCGGTGGAGAAATTTATGCGCCGAGTCCCCCGGCTCTGTCCCGCTGCGAAATTAAATTTTCTGGCCGAGCCAAGTGGATATCTGTCCGCGGATCCTTTGTTTGTTTAATTAAGCAAGAAGCGCGCGCGTGGCCGAGGAATAACAATAGCGGATATCCGGTTTGACCGCCGCTTTGCGGCTCGAAACGTTACGTTCATTGCGAAGGTGGAAGAAGAAATTCGGTCGGACGGGACAAAGCACGGGATATTACAAGCCTCGGTGTTACTTCATGGATGTTCTCACCTCCGTTCTTCTTCTTCTTCTTCTTCATCTTTTCCTTCTTTTTCTTCATCTCCTTCTTTTTCTTCTTCTTCTTCTTCTTCTTCTTCATCTTCATCTTCATCATCTTCTTCTTCTTCTTCTTCTTCATCTTAATCTTCTTCTTCTTCTTCTTTTTCTCCTTCTCCTTCTTCTTCTTCTTCTCCTTCTTCTTTTTCATCTTCTCCTTCTTCTTCTCTTTCTTCTTTTTCTTCTCCTTCTTCTCCTTCTTCTCCTTCTTCTTCTTCATCTTCTTCATCTTCATCTTCTTCTTCTCCTTCTTCTTCTTCTTCTCATGTGAGTTTCGTGTGCAGCTTCAAGAATTCATCGACACGTACAGGATGTCGAACGAGCAAATACTGAAACTCTGCGAGATAATCTGCGACACGCCGATGATCATTATAAAACCGAACTACATGTACGTAATGGAGGAGTTGAAGGAGGATTTGATGAACTCGAGGTATGAGAACCGGTTTTATTTTTGGTTTTGGGGATTTTGGGGATTGTAAAGCTATGTGATTCGGATCCGCCGTTTCAGGGACGAGACGTTCATAAAGGTGTCGAACGTTCACAAAACCATCATCGAATACGTGATGCTCATTTTTGATGGGTTCAAGGGTGTGATCGAGGACGTGAGTTTATGTCATATTGTTATTTATCGATGACGTTTTTAATATTCTCGCGTTATTTGATTCTCATAAAGGAAGAATTATTATTAATTTAAGCATTGGAATATTATAATTCGTTGTTGCGAAAGAAAACTGATGATTTTGAGGAAAGTATTTTGAGGAAGCAGCGTAGGAATGATAATAAGTAACTATAAGTAATTTGGATGTTATATACTTCTCTTAAATATAAGAGATGTATATAAGCTAGGGTCAACATTTGGTGGAAACTTAGAAAGCGCTAGATTCACTAGGAATGAATTATATCTGGTTATATTTCACTTGCATAAATACGTAGAATTCATATTATTCGAGTTGTACAATTATAAATACTATTACTGTAAGATACATATTTTTATTAGCATTATTAGTTCCCTCCTCGTGATAAAATAATATTATTAAAAAAAATCAATCTCAAGATATAAATTACCATACAGAATGGAATATCTCCATGTAAATTTTTACGAACAACATAAAATGTCCCCTTCGATCCTTGAAAATTCCTACTCGCAATATATTTAGCCATTTTTCCATCATAAAAAAATGTTTTATTAAAAATATCCACCGTAGACGAGGAGGGAACATCCTTGAACACGGTGATAATAACAACGAGACTCGACTTTCGCATCCCCCTACGATTTCATTCTCGCTCACGCGGAACAGCTCGTTTCTGCGTTGAATATGACGACAAACGGCGGCTATCCACCTGGTAAAATCCCCCCACGGAGCGTAGCCACGTTATCCCTTCGGGCTATACGCCGCAATTTTTGCGCCATTCCAATCCGGAAACGGAAGACTAGGCCGATATGTCGCTACCCGAGTGCCGGAAGGAACACGCGTATTCGTTAATCCTTATGTACAGGATAGTTTAACATTTGTATTTTGAAATTTATTAATCATGAGTTAAAAAATATAATTTTTTTCTTTTTTTTGAGATATCGTTCGATAATTGTTAGAAAGAAATTTTTTAGAAAGGAATATTTGCATTCTAGTAACAATAATATTACGAACGAAGAATAAGAATGAAGATGTAACGATGTGTAATACTGAAAGAAACATTTGTTAATTCTTATATACAGCCATTTATACTTTGAAATTTATTAATCATGAGTTAAAAAATAATTTTTTTTTAAATATCGTTCGATAATTGTTAGAAAGAAATTTTCTATAAAAGAATATTTGCATTCTAGTAATAAATCTGCATTCTAGTAATATTACGAACGAAGAATGAAGATGTAACGATGTGTAATACTAAAAGGAACATTTGTTAATTCTTATATACAGCCATTTGTACTTTGAAATTTATTAATGAGTTAAAAAATATAATTTTTTCTTTTTTTTTGAGATATTTTTCGATAATTGTTAGAAAGAAATTTTCTAGAAAGGAATATTTGCATTCTAATAACAATAATATTACGAACGAAGAATAAGAATGAAGATGTAACGAAATATTTTGATAACTAGCAAAGAATTAAATAATATTTAGAAATTAGGATGAAGATTGACGATTAATTATTTACAAAAATATGTGACATTTAACAGAGTTTGGAAGAATGGAAAGGATATTTAAGCAGAATAGACGTGGTGATAGGCGAGGTTTTCAAAATGTGTTTAATCGAATCCTTTAACGCCATGTACCTTGCTCTTCACGGGGATGGAACAGCACCCCCATCGCCTCTCATCCTGGTGCACGTAGAGCTTATAGATAATAAGGTAACAACGATTCTTTTTTTCTCTTTTTCATTCAAAAATCTCATCTGCTTATATTAAAATTTCGCTCCTTTCGTTCGTTCCCGAATAAGGATAAAAATAGAATAAGAATCGTTGTAGGTAAATTTCGTACCAAATCTATCGGATATCGCGATGGAAATCTCGATGATCTTCGACAATCTCTTGGAACCTTTGAAAAACATAATAAGATTAACAGACAAATTCAAGTTGGACTTCCATGTGCCGCCATTTTGGAAAATATACGAGAAAGACCCAGAATTGCTCGATCTTCAACAGAAGTTAAACGACGGTTAATCGATCTTTTAATCTGTCCATTTATGACAATCCTTCTTTTCTCCCTTCCCTCGATAATCTCGATGTAATTGTACGAATTCTCAGAGGTGAATTTCTGCTTCATCCAAATGCAAACCTACTTGAAAACCTGGGAACCGTTTCACGAAGTTTGGGAAATGAACAGAGAGATGTTTCTCCAGAGGTATATATATATATATTTAAGATTGAAATTCTAGATAAAATCGGTTCGATTAACTCGATATTGATTGATTAATTCAAGGTACGAAAAGTTGAAGCCAACCGCGGATACCTTCGATTCAGATATCAGCAGGTACACGATGATCGCGAACAATGTTCAGATACAGGAGACGATGACTTCCGTACACTTCCTCGACGTGAACTCCGATCGATTGAAGGGCGCCATTATCGAAGAGTGCTCGATTTGGCAACAGAAATTAATCGGCGTTTTGTTCCGGCAAACGCAAAACATGATGAACCATGTCTATCACTACATCGCGGAGAATTCGAAGAAGTGAGATATATAAGATAGATCGAAGTAAATTTTTTGAAACCAATGATAATACAGATCCATAGATAATCGAATTTCGCACGTATTCTCCTTAATTTAATCTTAAGAAATATAGAGAAGCTAGGCACGTTTGTTTACTCATTGAATAATCTAGGGCAATCGAGCAATAAATATCTTAATCAATAAAATTGATAAAGTGATGTGTAACAAAGTGATGTCTTGGAATAATTTATTACATTCACATTCAGAATATCGAAAGAGCCGACGGATCTGATCACCATGCAACAAGCGATGCAGTTGTTCGATAAGCTGATGGCCGATATTCCTCACGAGGAAGAGCAATTCCCGAAGATCGAGGATCAATTCCAGCTCTTGGGTAAACCGTTGATTAAACTGCTCGCGTGTTTCTTCTCGCCCTCTCCTCGATCGTTACTCGTCCATCCCTTTTTGTCCAGAAAAGTACGAGGTTATGTTGACGTTCGACTTCAAGCGAAAATTTTACGATATACAGCCTTCCTGGACCGCGTATCTCGGCCTCTTGCATGAATGCGATTTCATGTTGAAAGAGAAACAGGCAAGTTTGGAAAATTTTTTTTTTAAATTTTCTCGTCCAAATTTCATCAAACGAATATAATTATAAATGGAGGATTATCCAAAGAATCAAATTAATTATTGGTTAACTGATTTGTATATCATTAAAATAAAAATAAAAATACAATAGATAAATCTTTTAAAATAGAATATTACTTAAATAATTTAAAATTTGAATGTATACATTTATTTTCATTTTTCTTATCGTTGATTATAAAATGAATACTTTGTCTTTTATGTACAAGATATAGTAAAAGTTTAGTTTCATTTTGATTGCTACTCGAGTCTCTTTCAAAGTATACTTTTGTAAACTTTCCCTAATATGGATAAGCCTTCTTCCAGTTCTTCAAGAAAAACACGCGTTGAACAAAACGTTGACGAATATAGTTATTGAAGTTTTAGTTTATTATACTTTCTTATTTTGTATACTTTTTATAATTTATAAAATAATTAAAATTATTGTCTATTACGATTCATTTTTTTCTTTTCTTTTGTGTTTAGATCGTCTGTGTTAAAAATACAATTAAATGGTTAAAAGAAATTCCTTTTTATTCAAATAATGAATTATTTAATGTGATTAAATACACTGTGAATCAGTTAAATTATCTAGAATGGATGGATCTGTGTGTAATCTGTATCCAATATTTATTATCATTCTTTTTCTTTTTTTTTTTCTTTTTAGGCGGAGTTCAAACAGATGCTGATGGAAGATGTGGTAACGTTCGAGATAGACGTGCAGGAGCTTGTTCAGAGATTCTGGGAATTCGGACCGTTCACGTCCTTGTGGGAGATACAAGGTATACCCCGTATACCCACTGTTAACCTAATCGATTAACATCTATCGATATATTAGACGCTCTCAATTGGCTGGCCTCCCTCGAACGTGACTTCGTGAATTTGAAAACGAAGGAGAGCATGCTGAAGTCGCAGCTTATGGTGTTCGAAATCAGTCAGCCGGATTCGCTCGACCTCATACAATTGGAACAGGTAAATAAATCGGTCGAGTATGATCAATCGGCGTATGCAAGAGCTCGACAACAAGAGCTTCAAGTTTCTTTTCAGGATATGAAAGCTATCCAACTGGTGTGGGATATCAGGAAAGAGTGGAACGACGCTTGGCAGGTGTACAAAACTGCGAATTTCTGGGAGATCGAGATGGAACAGATGGAGACCACGGCAAATGTCCTGTTCAGAAAGTTGAATCGTCTGAGCAGAGAGTTGAAGGAGAAGAATTGGGAGATCGTCGAGCACTCGAGGTATTCTCCCTTTTTTTTTCTTTTTTTTTTTTTACGACAAAATAATAATTTTGTATCGAATCATTTCTCGTCGATTTAAGGATTTAAGAAATTTAAGGAATTGGAACTTTTTTTTCCAGAACGAGCGTGGACAAGTTCAGACGCACCCTTCCATTGATCACCGATCTGAAAAATCCGGCGATGAGGCCTCGGCATTGGCAGAGGCTCAAGGAGATCGTGGGTCGTGATTTCGATGAGCTGTCGCCGGAATTCACTCTGGACGCCATCACCGAGATGGAGTTTCAAAATTTCGCTGAACAGATCAGCGATATATCCAACTCTGCCACCATGGAATTGACTATTGAAATTGTGAGTGATTGCTCGTTTATTCGTAAACTTGTGCCATTTCACGTGCCGAAACCAGACGAGAGAGAATTCTCTCCCATTTCAGGGGTTGAAAGCTATCAGCGACATTTGGCAGAAGATGCCTTTGGAAATGATCCCTTACAAGGATCAAGGTATATACAGGATAAAGACCACGGACGAGATAGTGCAAACATTGGAGGAGCATCAAGTTCAATTATCGGCCATGAAGGCGACGAGGTTTCTTTTCAATTTTTCAAATTGACTCTCTTTCAGAGGGTAAGATGCTCACGTGGTTCCCAGATTCGTCGAGCCGTTCGCGAAAGAGGTGGATTACTGGGAGCGGACCCTTTCGATCATAGGGGAGGTCCTGGAAATAACTCTGATGATTCAGCGAGGCTACATGTACATGGACAACATATTCACCACGGAAGACATCAGGAAACAGCTCCCCAAGGAGACGGACGATTACGACAGACTGACGAAAATGTGGATCGAGATTACGTCACGGATGGCCTCCATTGGCCTGGCCTTGAAAGCCACTCACGAGCCGCGTATGTGTCTTTTATTTTTTTTTTAAATTTTTCAGAAAGCCGATACTTTGAATGAAAAACAGTTTTGGGATCAAGAAATTTGGGGGAGATTTGTTAATTTTTAATCAGGAAGAAACTCTGACGAATTTAAATTAAATAATCGTTTTTAAATTTTCCAAACGCTTTCCTTTCGAATCGAATTAATTCTCAATTTTTAAAAATTTTGAATCCTAAAGATTTAATTCTCAGTTTCTCAAAGAAAAAAAGTCTCGCCTTGTTTGTAATACTTTTCCTCCCTAATCGTTCGCTTTCGTTTCAAAAATGCAATTTTTTCGAGAGGAGAAAAGTGTAAATAAAAACTTCGAAACGTGAAAAAAAAGTAAGTATGCGTTGTAATTCGAAGGGAGGGGGGATGTACGATGTTGGCTCGACGTGAAAAAGAAAAAGGGAAGGCGGTGAAAAATAATGTAAATCCGGTCTGCCGGAAGCATTTGCATTTTTTTCTTCGCCTCCACCCAATTTCCCTTCTTTCTTTCTTTTCCTTTCCTTCCTTCTCGCTCCAGCCGGCCTGTTCGAGCTTCTGAATAAAATCAGCCGCGAAATCGAGTTGATGCAACGTGCCCTGGAACAATATCTGGAGACGAAACGACACGTGTTCCCGAGATTCTACTTCATTTCGAACGAGGATCTACTCGAGATCCTGGCCAACGCGAGGAAACCGGAACTGATACAGGTGCACATCAAGAAACTGTTCGAGAATATTAAATTCCTTAGTCTGAGCAAGGTGGGTTCACGAGTTTTTAATTTTAATAAAATTACAAGAAAGAAAGAAAAAGATTGTAAAAGAATCTATGATAAGAAATTGATTTTTAGAATCAATAGATAATACGAATGATCCATATTTTGTTGATTCGAAATGATTTTAATGTCGTCTCGAATGATTTCACAGTCCGTTACCGGGAAACAATTGGCCATAGCGATGAATTCCAGCGAAGGGGAGTTTGTCGATTTTACCGAGCCCGTTGTTCTGGAGGGCCAGGTGGAGAGGTGGCTCTGCGAGATTGGTAAGATGTTTTTCCTTCTCCAAATAAATCACGAAACGACTTAACTTTTCTTTGAAAGATATTATCGAACGAAAAACTTACAATGTAACGTATTCAATGCCAAAACCAAAGAATGACTATATTTTAAAGTGAAGAATTATCGATGAATTGAAATCAGTAGTAATGTAAAAGTGAAAATTTTATCCTTTAAAATATCGATTATTTTATCATATTTTTCTTTTCGAAGTAAATCGAAATAATATTTAATTTTATCATCGAGAGCAGTAAGTTAAAAATTAACCTTAAACAATTTTATTACTTGTGTTTGCAAAATTGTTTCCAAATTGTATCATATAAATATAAACTTCCAATCAATCTGTTTATCCTCCAACAAAATTCCCATAAACAAAGTCCTACCGTAATTTTAAAATATTAAGATCGCAAAAGAGCGAGATAAAAGGAGATCCGGCTAAATATTTAACGTCCTTACCCCATCCATTAGAAAATCATATTTGACCTCGTACGAGTGCGTTCAACGGTGGAAAAAATGATTATCCCTCGCGTTTCATTCGCGCTTTTATCCAACCGTTTTCGAGCTTCCATCCGGCAACAATTTTTCACGCAGAGAGACACAATTTACGCCGGGCGGGAAGCATAAAGATGGCGCGGCACACGGTCGGTTAAAGCTAGATCGGAATTACCGACAGAGAAACCGGCATAATTATACTTAAAAATAAAATTGTATAATATCTTTGTAATTAATATTAAAATGCCGAAACTCGTTTAGTAGTAACAAAAAAAAGTGATCCTTTGTAATAATAACAATAATAATAATTACAATTAAAACAAATTTCTCAACAAGTGTATATAACAAGTGATGACGATACAATTGTGATCAATATTAACGAATCAATTTCGCAGAGAAAGCGATGAGGGTAAGTTTACACGAGGTACTGAAGCAATGTCGAACAGCGCTGCGAAAAATGATCCAGAAACGCGACAAGTGGGTGAAGGAGTGGCCCGGCCAACCAGGGATCACGTCCACCCAGATCCAGTGGACGACCGACTGCACCCGCACCCTATTGCACTGCAAGTGAGCTTCGCGCTTTATTCCATCGTGGAAATTTAGACGACGTTGCGAGTTACAATTGTAACGGCAACCTGACAGAGAGAGCGCCATTGGAAAGTGGATGAGACAGAGGGGGAGAGAGAGAGAGAGAGAGGCTTCGAAGGTCTGCACCCCATGTTGGAGAGGGTTGGTTCGCGAATAGAGGGACACGGTTACTCTAATAAGGGAGAATTTTGCATATTCCGGCTACGGCGCTGCGATCCACGGCCACAACGGCCATCCTTTCTCCCTCGTTTGCATATACCAGCCGTACCGCGAATAATTTAACCCACGCCACGGGGAGAAAATCCCGAGACCCCTCTCTGTCCCGTGGCAGAGGGTAGGTGGTCCTGGCGTGGCCGGGTCTGACCCTCCCTGAAAGAAATAAAGGGATACAGAGGTGTCGGACAAAGGGGATGATTATATCCCCTAGCGCTCGAGAGGGGAAAAAAATTTCGTGTTATGAGGCTTTGTACGGTGGAAACGGGGTTAAATGTGGAAAGTGATACCGGCTGATGAGGATAATTAATGACTCTTTCCTTTTCTTTTTTTTTTTTTTTTTTTTTTCTTTCGGGATAGGGAATGGCTTTTTGTTCTTGCGAACGGTTTTTGAACGGATGAAACTCGGTCTTGATTAAAAGTATGCGGTCACTGTGATGTGGAAACTGGAAAGGAGAAAGGAGGGAATCGATGGAGGGGTTCTTCAAAGAATTCTTTCCGCTTTGATATACGTACTTTTTAATGCAGCGTTTCCTAATTCTTCTTTATCGAGTTTTCAAACTCCCCCAAGATTTTTAATACCTTTTTCCTGGAAAAAAAATAAATTGAATTAAATAAAGAACTACGTCAAATAATTTTAAGAATATCTAGATATTGAACCCTAGATGGCGTCGTTGAGTTATTACAAGTTATTGTAACATTCTAATAATAATCAATCTTCTCCCAAAACGTCTTCAATCTTTAAATTAGGAAACGCTGCTTAAAAAATTTTTCAAACATTCCCAAATAAATTAAAACGAAAATTTAAAGGCTAGTTGACTCGAGGAAGCCGTTGAAGAAGCTACGAAGACGACAGAATCAGGCGTTGAGCAGGTATTCGGAGGCGATCAGGAGCGATTTGACCCACCTGGACCGACTGAAGTTCAAAGCGATCGTGGTGCTCGAGATCCACGCGAGGGACGTTATCGAGAAGATGTACCGTGCTAGTGAGTGATCGATCCGATCTTATCGTAACTTTCGCGACATTTTTCAATCCTCCTTTCCTTCCTTGCCACGAGCAACAAATTATCCGGATTCTGCTTTGTTATTGGTTGCGTTATGACGTTTAGAATAACACGGTCCTCCGTAAATTCATCCAAACTCGAGCCGAAAACAGATGGCCGGATAGATCGGAGCTCGTATTATCCTCGCATCATCCTGAAAACAATTTGGCCCGTGCAAATATTGCTAAGTGAACAGGTGCAACGTTTGCAACGATAAATTCACGCATCAACGACTCGTCCCTCCTATCCAATTAATACGATTCCGCGAATTAGACTAATAGACGCCGGATTCCCTCTCGTTTCATTTCGAAGTTTGGCAAATGAGGATTTTCCGTGAAAAAATATTTTCGAGTCTCGTTTCTTTTTTTTTAGATTGCAAGGACGTGTCAGCGTTCGAGTGGCTGTCGCAGCTGAGATTCTACTGGGACAAGGACATCGACGATTGCATCGCTTGGCAGACGAACACGTTTTTCGTTTATGGTTACGAGTATCTTGGAAATACTGGACGATTGGTGATTACACCGCTCACCGATCGGTAAGATGATTTTGGTGAGATGGTGAAAAAGTAGGGATAAGATACTACGTGAGATACGTAGGAAGGATCTGTCTAGTTTTCCAGTTTTATTCGAATTTTTATCGTAAAGAGAAAAAGAAAAAAATGTCGATAAGATTTGAAAAATAAACAGCAAAGGATTTTCGTTTCTTTGGCATTTGGAATAATGTTTAAATCGCGAAACCGTAATCAACGTTAATCAACGGTTGTTGAAAGCTTGGCTGAGGATGATCCTCGAAACTTCGCGAGGCAACTTTGTGGACGCTCGCGAAGAAACGCTCGAGAGAGAAATTTTCGAGCCGAGGGGGGGAACAGCAGAGGGGGAGATTGTAATTAACGTTGATCAACGAGACTCTCGCAGGCGAGGCCTCTTTGAATCTTGATGTAACTTCATCAATTATGAGAGAAAACCCGGATGTCAGTTTTCGCGACACTAAAAACGACTTGTCTTACTCACTGTCTCAAAAAATTCGAGATCATTATTTAATTAATTTTAATTAATTTTTGTAATTAATTGTTAATTTTTAACGGATAATATTAGAAAGGAAATTTTGTTTTGATTACTTGTTCGATTACTCTGAAATATCGCACAATAATTTCACAATGTAATATAGAATGATTTAACTTGAGTGGCAATAACTCAATTGCGCCATCTAGCGCTTCATTATTTCGACATCTATATACTTGAGTCTTGATGAAATCTAATCTCTTTGTGGATAAAGGATCTTTATTAGAATTAATTCTTCTATAAAAATTCTCTGTTTCAAAATACAATAATACTACATCAATACATCATACAAATTTGAATAGTTTATAATTAAATCAAATATACATCGATCAACAACATAAGCTCATCTTTTGTCCAAAATTGTGCAATATATACAATTATGCAGCTACAAATCTCTTACGTGAAAGAGCAGTTTGAGAAGGAAGATCGATACTTAACGCTGTTTATCGATTTAATCGCGATAAAAGGATTCCGCGCCGCTCTAATTTATGAACCGAGGGGCTGGGCGTCTCGATACATTTGTTCCCCGAGAATTTGTGTCGCGGAAGGAAGAACGCGACGCGCCCTCCACGATTCTTCGTAGTAATACGTCGCGACCCACCCTTAAATCCCTCCCTTGAAAACGGATTAAACGGATAAGAATAGAATCACGTGCTTCTTCCTTCTTCAGGAAAAAAAACCTTTGAAAAGTGCGATTGGGAATCTCTTTGTAATTTTTTCTTCTTCTTTTTTAAACGAAGAAAAATTAAAAAATTGAAAAATTCATTGAAGCAAAGATCTCTTCGATTCAAGCCATCGATCGAATAACTCGAGGGGAAATTAATAAACGATCCTTTAAGGACAGAATCCTGTCTGAATGGTGTTCTAGGTGTTACATAACGCTGACAACCGCCCTCCACCTGTATCGGGGAGGCAGTCCCAAGGGGCCGGCCGGTACCGGGAAAACCGAGACCGTGAAGGATCTAGGGAAAGCGCTTGGATTCAACGTGATCGTGCAGAACTGTTCCGAGGGGCTCGATTACAAAAGCATGGGCAGGTTATTCTCTGGCCTCTCGCAGACCGGGGCGTGGGGCTGCTTCGACGAATTTAACCGGTAAAAAGGAAGGAAATCCATCCCTTCTCGTCCTATCCCTCTCCTCTTCGACTACAATATAATAGCGGATCATCCCTGGAAACTTTAAAACACGATCTCGCTCACTTCTCGTGAACAATATCTCAATGATTTTTCCCAATCTCTTGAACACTTTCTCGATTCAATGTTTCGATTCGAGGAGAGAGGATGAAAGGACGTTCCAGATTCTTAATTATGGAAAGAAATTGTTCAAAGTATTTCATCGAGTAGTCTAATTTTATAAACGAATAAAATTAAATACCTGGACAGGATAAACATCGAGGTATTGTCGGTGGTGGCGCAGCAGATACTGTCCATCCTCACCGCCCTCTCGCAGAAGATCGTCAGATTCGTGTTCGAAGGATCTGAAATAAAATTGGTGCACACCTGCGGCATCTTCATCACTATGAATCCAGGATACGCGGGTCGTACCGAGCTGCCCGACAATCTGAAATCCATGTTCAGGCCAATCTCGATGATGGTTCCCGACAGCAGCATGATAGCCGAGATCAATTTGTTCTGCGAGGGATTCGAGGGGACCCGAATTCTCGCCAGAAAGGTTTCTCATCTCGCTCCTTGCATCGAGCTCGTATCGACCCCTCCATCCTCTTTTCCTCCAGGTATTCACCCTGTACACGTTGGCCCAACAACAATTAAGCAAACAGTATCACTACGACTTTGGGTTGAGAGGTATAGTCACGCTGACCAGATACGCCGGGAGGAAGAAGAGATTATACCCGAATCTGCCTGACGAGGAGGTAAAACCCATCGTTCGTTTCTCAAAATCTTGCGTACATCCCCTCGAACAGTCGAGATTAAATTTCGAGATCAGGTTTTGGAGAGGTGAAAAATCCTTTCTTTCAGGTGATCATCCTCGCCATGAACGACATGAACATCGCCAAACTCACTTCGGACGACTTGCCCCTGTTCGTCGGTATCACCAGCGACCTCTTCCCGGAGGTCGAGGTACCGACCGTGGATTACGAGGAAATTATCAGTTACATAACCAAGGAGGCCATCAAACTGAAGCTGCAGGTAATCTCGATTCATCGTTTTCTCCAAAAGAGAAAAAGAAATATTCTGTCTCGTTTTTTGATATAAATTTAACGTCCATATGATACACTGCTTGAATTATTAACCCTTTGCACTCCAGGCCTGTTTGAGTTGCTCGAAATCTTAAAATAAGATAATTACTCATAAGATAAGATTCCACCTCATAAGATTATGCGTAAAGAGCTTAGAACCTATTTATGATATTCTAAAAGAATCAAGCATAAATAAATATTATCGTTCAACAATCTCCAGTGGTGGAGAGTCACCGTTGGAGAGGAAAGGGTTAATTTCGAGCATCGATCGACGTAACTCAATGTTAAATTCGCCTAGGAATTCGAAATAGGTGTTCGTGTTCATCCAACATTGTTTCCAGCCTATCCCCCTGATACTGACGAAAGTTATCCAGCTGTTCGAGACTATGCACTCGAGGCACTCGACGATGATAGTCGGCGAATCGAACACGGCCAAGTCGGCCACGTGGAAGGTGTTGCAGAACACGATGACTAGCATGAAGAACGACAAGAAACCCGGATACCAGGCCGTCCACGTGTTCCCCATTAACCCGAAAGCGTTGAGCCTTGCCGAGCTTTACGGCGAGTACAATCTCGTGACCGGGGAGTGGCACGACGGCGTCATATCGTCCATCATGCGGAAGACCTGCTCCGGTTCGACCATCCCTCATTTTCGATTTTTCCAAGTAGGATGTATATAAAGGGGATGCACGCGTGTGTACGAAGTGTCTCGTTACTTTTGACAGACGATACCCCTGACGTGAAATGGATCCTCTTTGACGGGCCCGTGGACGCCGACTGGATCGAGAATATGAACAGCGTGATGGACGATAACAAGGTGCGTGCTTTTGTGACTCCGTTGGAAATTTTTTTTTCTCTCTCTCTCTCTCTCTCTCTCTCTATTCCTTTCTTTGCTGCAACAACACGAAAATCCTATTCACGAAGGGAATATAAGAACGGATGTGTATAAGAGTCGAAAATTTTTCTTCCTTTGAGAGATGAAATTGAAAATTGTAGAAATATTATTCATTTGATCTTCGATCTCTTGCTATCAACATCTTTTGTCTCATATTGAATCTTCTTCCCTTGGATCTGTTAAACTTGTTTCAAAGTTTTCCCCTAAAGGGCTCTAAAGGAATGTTAAGGGTTCATTTATCCTAAAATCGAGTTGTATAATTTATTTACAAGGATAATAAATAATTGCCTGTAGGTTTTGACGCTCATAAACAACGACCGCATCACCATGCCCCAACAAGTCCTTCTCTTGTTCGAGGTCCAGGATCTGGCTGTCGCCTCCCCCGCCACGGTCTCGAGGGCTGGGATGGTTTACAACGATTACAAGGATCTCGGTTGGAGGCCGTACATGAACAGCTGGATACAAAAATATCAAGCGAAACAGGAATTTTTCGAAGAAGTACTTTAATACGATCTCTAATATCGATTCTTAATGGATCTTAATGAATCTCTCCTTTATTATTTTTTTCGTGTTACGCAGATCAAGAAATTGTTCAATAGTCACGTGGACGCTACGCTGGAATTCAAACGGAAGAAATGCGAGGATCCTGTCCCAGTTCCCGAATTAAATTCCGTTCAATCGTTGTGCAAGCTCATAGAAGTGCTCTGTATCCCCGAAAACGGGGTTGAATTCACGGGAGACATAGACATGTTCTCCAATATTTGCCGGATATGGTTCATCTTCTGGTATATTATATTCGAGAGGAAAATACACCAAATACGAGATATATAAAAAAAAAAGGAAAGAAGAATTCTTTAATTTATTCATTCCACAGTTTGGTGTGGTCTATCTGCGCCACGGTGAACGAGGAGAGCCGGTTCAGGGTGGACAATTTCATACGAGAAATAGAGGGCACGTTCCCATTACGCGACACGGTGTACGAATATTTTGTCGATTCCCGTTTACGAATGTTCGTTTCCTGGGAAGAAAGATTGCCCTCGATATGGAAAATTCCTGCGGAGTAATTTTTTCGTCTCTCTCTCCTCTGAACAACTCTTCTAATAAATAAATTCTACATACATATATATACTTTTAATTACAAAATTACAGCACGCCGTTCTACAAGATAGTCGTGCCGACAGTGGACACGATTCGATACGAGTTCGTCACTAGTTACCTTCTAAGGAACCAGTTCCCTATTATGTTGCTGGGTCCCGTGGGGACAGGGAAGACGTCGGTGGTTCAATTGGTATTGAACGCTCTGGACGAGATGAAGTACAACGTGTTGACGCTCAACATGTCCGCCCAGACCACCTCGAAGAACGTGCAGGCGAGTAAAATTTGTTATCGACAATAATAATTGCAAAGTATCAATTATATACACATATAAGATTATTGGTCGTTTAACTCCCCCTAAAAGATGGAAAATTTAATATTTCAGGACATAGTGGAGAGCAGGCTCGAGAAACGGACCAAGGGCGTGTACGTGCCAGTAGGCGGTAAAATTCTGATCGCGTTCATGGACGACTTCAACATGCCTATGAAAGAGATCTACGGTTCCCAACCGCCGTTGGAATTGATTCGACAATGGATAGGATACGGTTTCTGGTGCGTTTCGAATAAAATGATATTTTTATTAACGTTGAAATTAATTAAAAAAAAAAAAAAAAAAAAAAAAA